ACAGCCGCTTTTATTATTATGTATAGATTTTCAATTTATTATCTGAAACTTAAATAAAATATTAAATTTCGCCCGAATATTTAGCTTTAAATTAAAAAAGGTAAAGTTTTAATTCGAGAATTACTTCTCAAGTTTACTTGAAAAGAAAATTCTGGCACTTAATTGAACTGTTTAGTAAAATTTTCTATTTTAAATTCAAACTACAAAAGTTTTTAGCTCCCGTTTGCTATAGAGTCATATAATAAATAATGTATAACTTCAAAAAGTTAATGGAACTTTCTATCTATTAAAATTTATCTGATAAAACATATCCAATATTCATATCTAAAAGTTGAACTTTTTCTTTAAAAACTTCAATGTTTCTACAACACGAAATTTGAAAACGCAGGAAATATATTCTGCTTTGCTCAAACCCAGAGTCAGTGAAACCTCTAAAGTAGCATTCTCACTAAACGCAGTTGCCGCAATTCCAACGCTTAAATACGCCATCTTGGGAGAAGACAGGTTACACGCCTCCTCTTTCTTTATATGTTTCGTATTTAATGGGCAAACTTCTTTTTAAAAATTCCTGCAATGTTTTCTCTTAGATTTGATTTGATTTGCTCATTTACGTCGCACTAGAGCTGCTTAAATACGCTTAAGTAGAACTGCACAATGGGCTATTGGCGACGGTCTGGGAAACATCCCTGAGGATGATCCGAAGACATTCCATCACAATTTAGATCCTCCGCAGAGGGGGTGGCATCCCCGCTTCGGTAGCCCAACGACCCTCACGTGAAGTCGAGCACTTTACGGTAGAACATTTTAACGAGAATCAATACCGCCCACTCTCGGTCCCTACGCAGACTGATCCAAGTGGTCACCCACCGGCACACTGACTGCAGCCAGTGATGCTTGACTTCGATGATCTGCTGGGAAGTCAAGCATTGGAACTATCTTCAATGTAGTTTTCATTTTCATATAGTTTCCTAACTTGAATGTTTTTAATCTACTTGAAAATCAAGACAGAAACTAACGTACTTCCTTCTCCTAGGACTCTCCTCACGCTAATGGTTACCAAGTTAGAGAGTTCTGCTCTGTGCCACTTGTAGCCCGTTTTGATCGCCAATTGTCGTCGTGAGAAAAGGAGAAATTTTTGTTGAGTTTTTCGCCGGAAATTATCTTTCACCTCAGGTTCTCATATTTCTACCCTTGCAATCGGATGTGCTGTAACCGCACAGGCTTAAATGTAGTAGAACAGACTTGCTGCATTTTCAAATCCTAGTTGTAAGAACGTTGAATTTTTAAAGAAAAAGTAATGTAAGATTCAGCAATTTTTTAGCTATTGAAATTATAATGGAATATCCCGTAAGGGAAGATTGACAATCGCAACGGTCAAATACGCCATCTGGGGAGAGACCGGTTTCATGCATTAGACCCTTCTCCCTTCCCTCGCCTCTTCTTTTCAGTTGTATAGGAATGTACTACGATATTTTTTTCTTTCTTAATATTTTTCCTTCTTATTTAATAAAAATATTTTTTAAAATTTCTGTGATACTTTTCTTTATAACTATACTTAATGTAGTTTTCAGTTCCATATAGTTTTGCAACTTAAAAGATTTTAATCTATACGAATATCAAGAGAGAAACTAACGTACTTCCTTCCTCTATGACTCTGGAAAGCGTGTGAAGTATTGTCATAGGTGGAGAATTCTGCTCTACGCCACTTGCAGCCCATTTCGATCGCCAATACGCTTTAAATGAATACATTTGTATTTTTATATTCATTTAGTAAAATAAAGAAATTTTAGACTTTCCTTAAAAAAACTTCTACCACAAAATTTTCAGAAGCATTTTTTATTTATTAGATTGAATGATAAAACCAACGAGATATTTATTTAATTTAAACCTTTAACTTTTATAGCAGTTTTCAATTTTTTAACGCCATTTAATTGATTCTGAATAGCTCATCCGTAGCTTTGACATTATTTCTGCTATCACAGTCATTGCGCTGCAAGAGAGTCTTTGTTCCTATTTGAGGACTGGTCTGCTCTTGAAAACCTAATTTACATGGATTGAATTTTATTTTAAATAATAAGAAATAAATTATGAATTTCTTTTAAAAAAAAAGCCTGCTTTTATTTTGGAAAAGATTTTTACAATGAAAATCGACCACAGACTAAGTTTTAATAATTTAAAAACTTGACACACGCGTTTTGGCTGATTAACATCACTCGATAACTTTCAAACAAACAATAAAAGTAGTGATTGCTTTTCTGATTTAGAGAAGGGGGACTACTGCCAAAACTTCCACTTTTAAGTCTGTTCAGTTTCGACTATAAGGCACATTTTAAAATGACTGACAAACTGGTTTAATTTATTGAAAGCTGGCTGCAATGTGTAAATACACTCAATTTCAGAATTCAAATTTTGGTGACGTCAGGTTAAATATTTCTATTCAAAAAATGACTTAATCGATATAAACGATTAATCTTTATTGTTTTTAATCGTATCAATAATTTAACCTTCTTCCCTTCTCCCTCACCTGTTTCTATCTCCGCAACCGCATTCTAGGTTACATTCTTATTTGTTGATTTAGGATAGGTTTTGGAAAAATCGTCTGTCTGAATGTAGTTTGTTCCAAAGGAGGGTGACATCCATGGGATTTTAAAAATCAGTTGATTTGGTTACATGAAGTTGTGTGAATTGTGATATAAGTTTTTATACTTTGAAGCTTCAAAGCAATTTGGATTACCTTTTAAACTAGTTAAAATATTGTAAGTTTTCAATTTCATTTATTTTCACTTAATACATAGTAGAAAAAAATTTCTAAAATTTTTTCTTTAAAACCTATTTTATAATTTTTTCCAATGATGTAAAAATAAACTTAAATTGTAATTTGGTACACAATTTAATAATGTATAAAATTGTCTGCCTTCTAGACGAACATTAGCTTTGAAAAGTATTATTTATCGTAATAAAATTATTATATTGTCACATTGTGGTGATATTAATTTAATCTGCCCGCACGAAATTTATATTTTCACACTTTCTTTTATTTATAAACTCTTAAGATATAATCTTTTGTCACTTTCTGTGTTTACAGGAAACAATGTCATATTGACTTTGTTTTTCGAAAATTGCTTTGGATATTTTGAACTCTTATTCTATAGGTATTTTTATTTTAAATATTTTATGAGGCTTTATAATAAAAAACTATAGAAACAGTTATAAATTAAACAATTTTATGAATGTTTATAAAATATAGAGCTTTTGTAAGTTCAACCCTTGTAAAAAAGTAATAATGTTATAACAAAGTTGATTTTACAACCTAAATTATTTTATTTCTTAACTTCTCTCGCTTGCTTATAAGTTTTTTTGATTAAGTTCAAACAGGTCTAGACAGCATAAGGTATCTTACTTGTAAACATTTTGAACAACTCCTCTCTATTCTATGTAAATTTCTTTAATTTATCTATTCTATGCATTAATTATAGAACTAACTTCGATTTACACTAAATAAACTTCTGCTGCCTTATATTTTTTACATCAAATAGATCTAGATCATTAGAAAATTTTGCTACCATTAAGCCGCCATAGATTTTCATACTGTTCAACTTCATTTAGATTTAGGCAAAATGTCACTCTTGAAATTTTTTTGGCTGCCATGAAGTTATGTCTATTTTTAACAGTCATTAAAAAGTTTTACTTTAATTTTCAGATAGAGAATTTATTATACTGTAAATAGTATGCTACACTTATATACAACAGTAATTTATAAATCTTTTTAAATTTTGTCATTCACTATATTTTCTCTAAGATTAAATGTATAATAAACCATTTAACAATATGCCGGGCAAACCATACATATTTTATGTTGAATGACTGTTTAGTACTAGTGTTAGCTGACTGCACAGAGAAAAATTTCGTCTTGCTAGAGCAGGGTTTGTAATATACTTTTGAACAATAATTAATTTATGTATTTTAGTTTTTAGGGCTAAAAGTTTTTTTAAAAATACGCATAAATCACTTAATATAAAGTATTAAATGACGTGAAGTAGTGTGCATTTATTATATATAAAAGTTGTTTACTAAATTTAAAGTATACTTTTTTATTAACATTTACAATTTTAACTATGTAAGCAAACAATCTAAAAACAGTAGCTATCCTTTAATTCATTTTACATTCACTACATTTTATATGCTACACATAGTAAATTACAGATATAATTTATCATTGTGGATGTATATAATAATTCATGTAATTTATTGATACGGACCTGGTTAACAAGATTCTAATAAACTTTAAAATATATCAATAATGACTGAACATTAAATAAATAATTTCGCCCACATGAAAGATTTTTTGATTCAATGTCAATAGTCCGATGTTTCATTCTTATCAAGATTCTTCTTATTTTTGATTCATAAATTGGGTTTAAGATAAATCATGAAGTATTTTTACTTAAAAGTTTCTTTGCGAAAAAAATATGTTGGCATTCCATCTGAGAATTCATGTTCCACTTTACATTATTCATATTTTCTTTTTATTCTCAAAATCTCTAACAGTGCAACAGACAAGATGTCTGCAACCTCTGTGCACATAACTCAGCCTTTCTTTCTTTTTTTTCCTTCTTTTTTTACCATTTTTAGACATATAAAACAATCGAAAAATATCTTAGATTTTTATTATTGTGAGACTGGAGTAAGAAAAATTAAATTTTTTTTAAAAATAATTACAATTTGGTCTCATTTTTTTTATTGGCCATTTTGTTAAGAAAAGGATTTGATCTGAAAAACGTGGTGTATCAATTTTAGAAGAATGCTTTTTGAGCAATATGTATATTTTTATAAATATGTAACTTAAATTTATAACTATCAACAAAGATATTTAATCTAAAATTTTTGGTAAATCATTAATAAGACATAATAGCAAGGAAATGTTTGTGTATAACTAGTCTGTCTATTGAAAGAGCTCACATCGCCATATGTTTGGCAATGGGAGTTCTTCTTGGTTTCATATGTCACAGTAAACAGAATAATGATATATTTAAAAAAGAAAAGGGTAACAGAATAAAAAAAATACTTCAAAGGGAAAAATATGTACATATATATGTATATTTATAAATATATATAGAGAGAGCCCTTTCATTCATAAGATACTTCCGCGGTCACAGTGGCCGAGTATTAATGATTTAACAGGGGTCTGTTTAGAGGAAATTTTGGTTCGTTAACAGACCCTTTACAAAATTTATCTTTTAAACGGACCCTTCACAAATTTGTTTATCTTCATTATTGTTTTGTTAATCAAATAAACCATTCCCCGGGAGAACAAAAAAAAGAGGGTTCGAAACAAACTAAGTTTTCGAAGTTCCCCTATGTTTGAATCCCAAATGTAGTATTCTAAAGAAATATTTCTACTTTTACAAACATCGTGTGCGCATTTTTATTGATATTAAATTATAAATTTTTGTTTTTTTTGTAAATAAATAATTGATCAATTTATATTTATTCATAAAATTAATTAATTGAATATTATGTAAATGAAAATTAATTTCTGGCAATTTTTTAAATAAAATATTATAAATTTAAGAATTGTTTAAGTTTATTTAATGCGTAACACATTATAAGTGATACATTACTAAGTTGTGTTGTTATATGTCAATTGAAATTATTAAAAATGTGAGTGATTTTGTTTCCATTATTTGTCCGAAATGAATATTCTGTGTTGAGCAGTATAGGCTAAATACCAAATAACAGGACCCCATTTGCACAAATTCACAAAAGCAGAACCCTGGTTGAAAAAATGTAACTTAACGTGTATTTTATATTCACAAATTATGAATAGTTTTTTTTTACAATTTTACAAAAACAGGACCTTTCACAAAGTGTCTGTACAGACCCCTGTTTAACCAATTTGTGACCAGAGTTTCTGCTGAAGCTTCAGCTGCTATACATATTGGGCTTCAGCATAGAACGCCCAAAAAATGTTTATGCTAATATTTTATCTCCATACACTTTAATTTTCTTAGTTTCATACAACATTTTCAGCTAGCTTAGTGTTAATCAAATGAAGTGAGATTAATTAACCTTGTTTTTAATAGAATGATAACCTTGTTTTAATAGAATGGGAATTATTAACGTAGTAGACATTTTATTATGTATACAAAGGATTATTACTTTCACACCCACCTTAAATCTAAATTCTAAACTTTTTTCTTCTTCATAATTAAAAGTCATACAATTTATTCTAAGTTATAAAGAATAAATTTTATGATTTTAATGATATAGAAAAAATATTTAGAGTTTAAATTTAGGGTTGTTGTGCAAGGGCAACGAGCACCTTCCTCATATTTTGGTTTATAAAAAACATTAAAAATTCCATTTTTTATTATTATTTAATTTTCTGATAATTCTTTGCATGCTGTATAATCCTGAGTTACTGTTAATAATCTGGATCAATGACTATGAAATTAGTTAAATTTGGGTGACAGATTAATGTATTAAAAAAAACGAAAGCTGAAATGTTATAACTATTAAATAAAATATAATATTAAAATAAGCTTCCTAGAGCTACCTATTATGTGCACAACTGCCCTAGTAGATAGATAAACGAAGAGTGACCCAAAATGTCAGAATTTCAAACTTTAGCAAACTTAACATATTTTATATAATTTTAAAGCTTAAATTGTATTTAGTTAATACCTTTATTTTTAACTCATAACTCTGGTTTCATTTTTCACAGAACTAAGGTCTTATTTAAATATTCTATTTTAATATTTATAATAAGATATTTTCAGCATTTAACCTATTTTGGTTATTTTTGGTAACATAATATACAGAAATAATAATTCTTTGGAATTTTTTTTGTTGTTGGTGATTTTAGAATATTAATTGGCTGATTGTTTGTTCCACTTGTGACAAAAATTTAGCAAAGATAAATTTTTTGTTAAAATAAATCGATATTTAAAAAAAAAAAAAATTCCTGATCCTTTTATCGCTGTTAGTAACAAATTAAATAACTTGAACAATTTTTTTCAAAGCATGCAGTTTTTTAAAAAAATGGATGTTGCAGGCTTAACATTTTGTGTAACGGAAGTAACATATTTACGTTGCTGCGTCCGCATCAAATCCAGAACTTGGATTAAGAAAAAAATAAAGTAAATGGCACTCAGATATAAACATTCAAATATATTTGAGAGAGACCAAACTCTTTTATTTCTAAACTTTTGTTCTTTTTAATTATTTCAAATTTCCTTTTTATATATCGTTTAGAATGTATTATATTTATAAGGTAGATATTTTCAGATGAAATGTTTATAATATTTTGAAAAGAAATTGCATTTTAAATATTGGCAGTATTATTTGGTGGTAAGGCTTGTAATTAATGATGGTCCGTTGGTCCAAGACCATTAAAATGCGACTCAGACCACCATAAAATAATTAGCAGTGGCTCCCAGACTAGCAATCATTGATGTTTTGCTGTTTTTGATTTTCGATATTCGGTTTCATGTTTTTGTCACAGAATTGCATATTCCAGTTTCTCACAAAATTGCATATTCCAGTCTCAATATTGCATACTTTGCATGTTGATGCAAACTTTTTGGTTTTCTTCACAAAATTGCATATTTCATGATAACTGTGGCATTACACAAACTCTGTATTATAATTTTTTTTTTATATAAATTCACTTTAACTTAACCAATAAAGACAGGTATATGGACCAGTGATAATTTGTACAGACTAGTTGTATCTTTAAGTTACACAGGTCCTTCAG